GGTGGAAAGTCCATATAAAGGTAAGGACAAATTGGAGGCCATTGAGTATGTTCTAGACTAGCTGAATCTTTATAGATACATAGATCCATACGCAACTTCAGACCACAACTGAAACACCGTACTTCGTATCCCAATCCAGTCACAGATCCCAAGTAGACAAATCCTCTCCTAGCTAAATCATTCACATTAGGTAATCCTTCCCTAACCAAAGACCATTTTTGAAACGTTTCCAATCGACTAGCACAACTACAATAGTCAGGCAAGAAGACAGTAAAATGGGATGGTTTGATCTTTGAGTTTTCAGTGGGGCGCTCACTCGATTATTCCTGTGTCAAAGTTGTCCTTCTTCCTAGTAAATGTCGTCTTGGGACCATTTTTTTTATATCAGCGTGTCCGTACGGTAAATTGAAGCGATTGAAAAAACGAACTTGCTGTTGGTTCACGATTTTATGGACTTTACCAAGGGTCAACTGACGATATGATGTGTGGTTAAAGTAACAATCTTGCTTGGTTGGTAAGTGGTCACTTTAAAGTTTCCATTATGTCCAGACTGCACAGATTCTTTCAGTACGCCAAAGTTTACAACTTGACTGGTGCGATAATTGAGAGTCAATCCCTTCACTTTACACACAACGTGCACTACTTCATGGGGGTACCATATTCGTAACCGTAATTTTTGGGACTGCCACTTGCAAAACTTGGAATTTGTCCTCGGGATGCTCGTCCGTCCAGGCTCCTAAACTGTCCCCTTCGAGTTTAGGTTGCTGTTGACCCAAACAATCAATGTAGATGCAACCGTCCGTGTCAAAATAAAGCAAACGACCTCATAATAGTTCTAAAGCTTCGTACAGTTTCAAGCTAGCATGGGCTGTCACGTAAGCTGCAATGATGACATTTCCAAATTCGTCGGCTTCTGCAAAGTACAGTTCTTCTTTGTAACTGACTAAGAGCAAGTCCTCCCGAACAACGTCCACGTGTTTCGTATATTTGCTTTTGTCGTAAATCATCTGGAAGTAGCGGGGAGGTTCTGACAATTGAACATCACTTTGTCAAACGATCACCTTCCTTCGCTTTTCTCGACATGAACTCAAGTAATATCTTCCTGCTCCCAGTATTTCTCATGAATTTCTTTTGGTCTTCGGGTATGAGGCACCAGGAAGGATATCCACTGGCTTATTGTTTCAGTTTCAAAAAGACATCCACGTAATCTGTGAAAATACCTTTCCGAGTCTCGTGTGTCATGTAGAATTTTTCTGTCTTGGAAAGTGGTAAATTTCGTACACTTCGTACAGTTCGTATCCCAGGTCTAGAGCTTTGAACCATCCCACGCTGACCCACGTTCACGTCAAGGCGCATTCTTCCTGGCTGTGATGACAAGGATGGTTTTGATTGCACGTTTCAGTACAAATACTGCACAATCGAAACATCAGTTTGCCTTGGCAATGGTGAGGTAAAACGGGATGGTACAAGTTCTCTGGAGGCAAAACTTTACATTTAATCAATCCTTTGTATTGTCGAATGTTGTCCACGCCGATATGTTCCTTCAGTAATTGCAGATGTCATGTGGGAAAGTGACATTATTTCCACGCGTAAGGATACTGCGTACACACGTCCAAGTATTTGATTTCTTCTTTCTCCTCATCTGCTTTGTACAGCAAACAGGTGACATTCGTCCGTCTTCCGTACAAACTGTTACATGGGTTCAGTGGTTTCACCCGCTTGTAACTTTCCACGATTCGTTTAAACACGGGATCGGTTTTCAAACAATGATCGTATTCGCGTTCCCATATTTCCACCATTTGGTATCCTTGATCTTCTAACTTTAAGCTTCGCTGACAAGTGGCCTTGTACAAATCTTCAATGGTCCGTTGTTAAAACTGCTTTGTAGTGTCACGTTGAGGGTAAGAGATTAGACATCCGTGAAATAAGTAACCGTTAAACTCGTACACGATCTTAGGGTTTTCTAGCTATCCAGCATATACCTGTCAATGGTCTTTCGCATCCTAATTTTCGGTTATGTTAGATCCATTTGTCTTCCATGTCGCACAAGTAAGGTGGCACTCACCAATTATTATGTACTTTTGAGAGAATGATGTATGTAAAGTGAAGTTGTTTGCATTTTTAAGATGCACAGTGGAGAGAATGTTTGCATACCTGTATGCTACTTTCATGTAATGTGGCCGAAATGTCTTTGGATATTGTACGTTTGGAAATTTTAAATGATTTTAGCACAATACTAATTAAAATGACTGCTCCCTTGTGCTCCAAAAATCAACCTGAATTTGCCTAAACTACACATTTCTTGGCAGCTATTAAAATATGAAGAATAAATTTTGCCAAAGTATGCAATATCATCTTCTAAAAGTGCAATGAATGAATTGTCAAATATATGAAAAGTAAAAATAGTTATCGGCTCTTTTTTTACAATTTACCTCTGAAGTTCAGTAAGTGAAAATGAGCAAGCAGAGCTAGAACTTTTTTGAAAGGTGCACATCTGGAGTAAGACCAAGCTGTATACTCTCTAAGCCATATAACACACATCAATCATTCACCAAAATAAAGGGAATTCAAGGTTCTTTGAACAATACCTAAGATATACAGAGTCTTTTTTAATAGCCAGTATAACTAGTGAGGAAATCCGGGGAAATTAATTTTCTTTAAAATTCTAACTATATGCTAAATACGAAACTGTATAGCGCCACCTAATGTAACCAACGAAGGGCTTTGACCGATTATTGACGTTTGGCAAAGTTCGTCGTTGAAGAACTGGTGACAGCTAAGATGTTTTCGGGCATGAACCGTTGGAAGTGCAATAAGGAACACTCTTTAGGAATAGTGCAAGCGTTTTTCAAAGGATCGATACCACCGTGTTCCATAAACTGTTCTTGAAATTTTCTACACCATCGCCGTAAAATGTCCACGTCGGAACGACAATACTTTAACATTTCTTCCTAAAAGTCGAAGAGGTCTGAGGCGTGAATCTCGTACCAAGCGGAAAAAACTTCTCGTTGTTCGGCACACATGTTGTCAGGGTCATAGTAGTGAGCCTCAGGTAAATGGGGTAGAACAGCGTGTTGATTGGCTTCAATATTGAAAAAGTATAGAAAATAGCCTTATGCCATTTCTGTCATGCTAAACGTTTTAAACGTGCGACCCAAAGGCATGGTCAAGTAACTCATTGAATCTTTAAACTGCACTTGTGTTGTACTCCTGCTTGTACATGAGTTTGGCTCCGTTCAAAGTAATTTTAGGACCTTCGAGAAACTATAAGCCATCACCGTGGCATAGCGATGACATTCTCCGTAAAGTCTGATATATTCTTGGTTCAACGTCTCGTCGATAGGGTCGAGATTCATTGGGCAAAATCAGTCAATGTGTTTGGTCCCCGAAATATTTTTTCACGTCCTCCAGGATTCTTGCTATAGTGAGGGCAATGAGCCAAGATAGGTTCTTGGATTCACTTTTCACACGTTCGGCGAGCCAGAAATTAGAAATGTGATAACCAGTTTCTCTTGCATACATTCAAATCGAAAAAGATGAAATTGCTTTTTTCTTCTTTAGTCATCTTCTTGATCTTTATGTTTAGAATGGTATTTTTAAATGTAGCATTTGTGTTCCAAGTCCACGATTTGACGACAAATGTGACATCGTTTCTTTCATGAGCAGATGTGTGCCTTGTCGTTGTTGGTAAGTATGCTTTGTCCACAAGTAGGACACAACTGCAGAAGTTGACAAGCATATTTTTGTTCATTGTGTCTTTAGATGTTGTTGGTAATAGGGAGAGCGGACAAACGTCCGCTGACAAGCTGGGCAACATTTTGTATCTTTCGTTAAGACAGGGTTTTGAGACTAAATATCCTGCGCATCTCGATTTGCAATGCTTATGTTGCTCTCTATTGTTATAGTAATAGTCACATTTCTCACAGTAATTACTGTATGACAGGAATGCAGTGATACTGGTAATGACATCAAACTGTTCACCTTGTTAATAGAAGTGAATGTATGTTCCGTCTTTGAAATGTTTGCCTCGAAATAGCAGAGGTCCGCGCACTTCTTAAGGGTGTACTTTCAAGGTGTAGAGCAGAGGCAAGACGTCTTGCAATTTTTGCAATTCAGGAATGCCACAAGTGGCTTCCCAAAAACGTTTTTCAGCAGAAGTCGTGAGGCCGGGTCCTTATGAATCTGGCGTACGATACCGTAAAGTAACCTGTTGTGCTATAGGTCCAAGCAAATTGAATTGAGCCTTTTGGGAAGTAAGATCACTGAAATAAATTATGGAGACAGTGAACTCTAGCTCCATTCCGTAATGCTGTGGAATAGACGATCCTGATTGAGCCAATGTCCACTGGCCTTCTGGACTAGTAGATTTAAACGTGAGATTGTTTGTCCAAATGTTTAAAGCTCCGGCCGCCATTGGGACAACACTCCAAATGCAATGGTCTGTTAAATAGACCACCTCTGACACTGATACAGACTGTTTCATTGTGTAAATGCTATAAGTGAAGGATACTCGGGATGAGAGACGGTTTTGTAAATATTTAAGCCCGTGTTGAAATTATTTTAATGCATGTTCCTGTTGGAGAATGAATTATGTTCAGGAGGCATTGTCAGGCTAAAATACAGTTCTTGCTAGGATCAAGCTATCGGCCGCACTGACTCAGTAATAGCAACTTATCACAAGCAGCTGGACGCCTTTTGTTCTTTTCTGATTAGCATATCAAGAAATACTGGAACTCTTGACCAAGCTAATAATGGAGAAAGATGTGATTATAATTTCTTAAACATAGCTTTAACATGTTTTCAGTCGTAGCACTACGACGTCTGCAGTGTGGCAGTTTATAGTGATGTCTAGCACTGGAGCTTCATTCCACAGTAATGTAGCATGATGTCCCACCCAGTCACATTATCCTGACACCGGACTGAACAGTCCTAACACTAACCTCTTAATGCTGAGTGCCAAGCGAGGCAGTTGTTGGTACCATTTTTGTAAGTCTTTGGTATGACTCGACTGGGGATCGATCCCAGGATCTTCCGCATCCGAGGCGGATCTCTAGCCACTAGGCCACCAGAGCGGCTTCGAAGAGGAGGAGCACGAACCACTGGTGGTAACAAGCGAAAGACGTCCTCGGTTGACGCTGGGAAAGAATAGTCTTCTCAGTCAGTGGGATCCAGCAAAGACGATGGAGCTTGTGTGTGTACGTCTTCTTCTTTTTGGTAACGTGGCAACGCTGACTCCTCATGTGCAACTTAGATGAAACCAGCGAAAATTCTCGAAAAGGGAGACCCACCATGTTCATAGAACATTACGACTTAGATTATCACTAATGTCAGTATTCCCTGTTAGTGATAAAGACACAAACATACATTGAATCCATATCCTGTGTATTCTTGGGCACTAAACTGAGCACCAGGTACATTGAGAGGTCTGTGGGTGATCCATGAGTGTTCCTAAGATTGTACCTTGCAAACTACAACAAACTTCGGTTTTTTATATTAAATGGTAAGATCGTATTGATCTGTTGCGATCTGAAACATATGGCAGGGTCCTAAGCGTGACCTGTCTGTCTAATGAGAGCGTGCTTTTTGGCATCAGCAGAAGTAGTAACTGAAGTATAACGTGTTTTGACACCAATCACCTAACCTAACTGCCACCTAGGTGATCCTAGGTGATTCGATACCATACATAAAAATAGAAACACATGTCCTGTTTAGAAAATGGACAAAATGAGCATATAAAAATGCCATACATTAGTTACATAATATTTTCTCGTGTATTACTAATGACATCGTAGGATGGGTGCATCTTAGGATGGGAAACTTAAAAGGGATTTTCTAAACCGCCCTTGATTTTTTTTTTATACTAATACCCTTTTCCTCGCACAAAACCCATTTATATCTCTGATATCCATCTCGCTTATATCTTCAAAATTATAAGTGGAATAAACAAACTACTATACTGTGCAATGTTCAATTTGGATAATGAGTGACCTCAGACTAATTCTGAATGTAGTCCCTGGTTCTCTTTACGTTCTTTTCGTTCTTTTATATTCGATCAGTAGACTAGATTAGATAGCACACATTCAATTGATGTTTGACTTCATACGATTCGATACAATTATCCGTTCTCACACTTGTCACCACATCCAGTAATCCGTTCTCTTACTTGTCACAACAACAAGTAATCCATTATTTCACTGATTACCACACTTCTGTGAGATTACTATTTGCTTATTTTTTTGTACTGGGTGTTAAAAGCCGTGAAAACGTACACGTTATCAAAATACTCTGCAGTCATATGAATGCACGCTTACCTTTGGGATATTCTTGTCTTCCTGCTTCGCCTTTTCGAAGGATATATATATATATATATATATATATATATATATATATATATATATATATATATATATATATATATATATATATATATATATATATATGCGCCATCTTTCAGTAAAAGATGAACCCGGAAAAACCCAGGAAAAACCATCGACCCACGAACTTTCTGACATACCCACATTGTACAAGCCTGAGACTCGCAACCACGCAGACAGAGGCGACCCGTAACAGTAAGCGTTTTATGTATGTATGTATGTATGTATGTATGTATGTATGTATGTATGTATGTATGTATGTATGTATGTATGTATGTATGTATGTATGTATGTATGTATGTATGTATGTATGTATGTATGTATGTATGTATGTATGTATGTATGAATGTATGTATGTATCAGCTTTAAAAATAAGCAGCCAATCAATTATACCAGGAAGTTATCATAGCCACTGAAAGGACTTGTGTTATTAGTTCAGATTAGTTCAGAATTATTTTACCCGCTGTCAGAAGCCGTTCTGCGCTCTCGACTTCAAAGAATTAAAAGGTTTATAAATCAACAGTCAGCAAATCAATAAATACGGAAGTTAATGGTTACTGACATTATAAAACATTGAATTCATTGTGCGATTTTCACCCGACATGGAGTCGAGAGTTAATATAACTTTTGCTTTTAATTAAGCATATCGAATAGTAATCAACATCTGCGTATTATTTTTCGTGTTCAATGAATTTGATTTAACGATCACCGTTCTTATTATAAGGTAAGTTCTAAATTACTAGTTCAGATTTTATAAATCCCACTAAAGCTGCGTAGCTAAATCAATTTAAAGTAGCACAATTTATACCAGGTGTTATAAGTACATAAATTATACTTCCTTTATTTAGGAACCCCAACTTTGTACATAACATGTTGTTTATATGTGCACATTTCCTTACTATTTACTACATAATATAGACACGTGGAACTGAATATTAAATTTAATGTATTATTGTGTCTGACACAAAACCAACTAAGCCTGTCTCAAAATTATTTTACTTTTGTAATGTTCAAGCTATCGAAAATATTACTGAACGATATAAAAATAAAAATCACACCTAATCTAGCCCAATTATCGCCCCAATATGATTGATGTTTTTCCTTGTAGTCGAACTATGGATACAGTCCTGTAGTAACTCAAATGGCTGATAATCATTTGTAATCAGATCTTCAGTAATATAAAGAGATCAGACAGTCACCGAAAAATGTTGTTTTGTTGACCCTTGGAATTCCACGTCCAGTTGTTAGTTAATAACGATATGTTCGATCAGTACACAGAAATCACAGATTTCAAATTTATGAAAGGGAAATCATGACGATGTGAGTGACGTCCCGTGCATAATTTTGAAATCTGTTATTTGATTGGTCAGCAGAACATAACTTCTTAATGATGCCTTCCAGATTTACAGCTAGGACTGTGAATAACTTGTCGTCATTGTTGTTGCTGTTGCTTATTTTATCTGCAAGATGATTTTGTCTCAAAAGGATTTTTTGTCAGAATTTCTTTACAATTATGAACTTCTTTCACCAAACTAAAATCAAAATTTGTAAAATAAATTTTCACCCAAAAACGATTACACTATTTGAGGGTTTTATTTTTCTACATTTTTTCATTATTCACAAAGAAAGATATTTTTTTAAAAAAAATCATCGCCGTTTTCTCCTAAACCATGATCAACATTTTCGGTCATATAAATTTTTCATCATATAATTTTGTTAAAAAAATGAAATGTTGCAGAATCGAAAGGAAGATAGTATTCATCTATCACATCAATGATTGTCGAAAAATATACGACGATTGCCATTTGCAGTCATGTCCTGTTCTTCGTGCAATTGAAATCCCTAAACTCAACACTGTATTTGATTACATTGGCATCCTGCAACCGGTATAATCTGGTCGGCCACTATTTATAATGAATTTATTAGGAGCTATTTTTTCATGAACTGTGAGTTTGTGTTCAAGTTTATTGCAAGTGTTTTTTGAGAACACTGCTCTCTGTCACTATCAGATAATAAGTTATGCAAAACTTCCTTTAAATTCATTAAAGTGTATCACCTGTTGAGTGTATGCGCGAGACGGTTTTTTTTCCATAGTTGAGTAAAATCTACAAAATTGACTGAAAATGGGAATCTCAGCAGAAGTTTGGAAACGTAGGATAGGCTGTTTCATACAACCGGACAAGGTTAAAGTGAGAATGCAAGGTTCGAACATTTCTGGGAGTCAAATAGGTTGCGTAATTAGATTCTTGTCAGTTCTCCGTCTTCTTCTCATAATGGAGGATATCGAATTATATCCATGTCCCAGACACAATGCTCAGAAACAAAGAACATACAAAGAACCCTTTCAAACACGGTTGTCTGTCAATACAGATGGTGGTTTAGCATTATGTATTGGCAGGGATCCAGGAGACATTTCTATTTTAGCATGGCGAGCTTAATGTTTTATCTGGTATACAGCAAGAACTCAAGTCACTCAACCGTAACTATTCCAGTTTGAATGGCAAAGCGGACAATTTATTTAGTAAGATAAGGAAAGAATATGAACGCCTGCGAATATGAACGAATGCAGGAAGACCATGATACTTTGCAGTGCAGTTTTAAAATCTTCGTTCGTTTGGTATCTCAATCCCGAAGGAATAACTTAATAGTCTTGATGAATAGAGTGAGCACGAAGCGTGTGAAGAGTGTGAGGTGAAAATCAAAACATACATGTGAACCTTTGTTGAGGTGCACTCTGATCATGTACAGGTAGATTGTGCACAAAGGACTGTAAATGGTACTAAGCCACATCCAATCATTGCCAAATTTGCATACTTTGAAAATAAATAAAATATGCAGTGAACTTTTTAAAAAAAGCAGAAAGAAAAAGGAACAACATGCTCAAATCCCCACTATCCCCACTCTGTCGCCATAGAGTACACCAAGAACATGAAATACGATAGGAAGGAGTTGGTACAATTTCATGTGAATAGTTATAAACGACAATCGAATTGTCTGTCATTTATTCAGGAAATTAATTATAATCTGAAAATCGTTACTCTATAATAAATTAGCTGGTGAACTGAAAGCCATTCAAAAATTCGACGAAAATCTGGCTGTAAAAATAAGAGGCACCTGATCTGACAAAATCTGGTCTAATGAAAAAGTTGCAGTTGAAATTTCAATGCCGTATGTAGAGAAATCCAATTGCACGTGTTGGATGAAATTGCGTGCCCTTAAAGTTCTATTTTCTAGATCGAGATTTTAGATTTTACATGTTGAATTATACAGTGATGGTTTAAAGTTTTATTTCCAATGTGGACCTTTTACAATGTATATTTTGAATTACACAGCTGGGGTTAAAACTTTAATATCGTATTTCGAGATTCCCTAATTCTTATTTTGGATGCAATTGTTCGTGATGATAGTTCCATTTCATATTTCGAAAGCTAAATTCAGCAACTAGCTAGACCTAAAACATCACAAAGACCAGTGCTGTATATAAAATACGAAAACGGTCAAGTCCATCACACGCAACATGTGAAAACAACAATACGAGTAGTGAAGTGAGATAATATTGCGATAATGGGAAATACATTACCCCCTTCCCCGACCGTATAGCGACACGATTTATAGAGACAAAAATAAACAACACCCTGGGACCATATAGCGACAATGGGAATTTTGTATTAGCACATTTGGGACTGTATAGCGACAAAA